CAAACCTTATGCTGACACCATCATTCAATTTTTAGACTGAATCGAATTATGAGTTTCCATATGCTCGATTCGATTAAAAAAAAACACAGGTGTAGTCAACTAATGTTCCATTCTATTTACATACAATAGATAGAAACATGCTAAGATGTGTGTGCATATATGGTACTCGAATTCAGCATGCGGAAATCCAGAAAATTAAATGATGGTGTTAACAAAGGTTTGCTCTAGTTTTTCAGATTTCGTTGTTGAGAAAACCCACCCTAGGTAAAACACAGTATACCTCGTTCTAGGTGAAATCGTTTGTGTGACGAAACCACTCTCATCTTCGATGCTACAGTTTATGTCTTCGTTATTTTCAAGACTCATTTATCTCCATCAGATTTATGGTAAATAGACACCACAGCTTATTCGGTACTATTACGCTTTCTACGCAGGCTTAATCAATTTTGTCTCACGATAGATTTTAAGTTGATGTTTGTGGATAATGTCCTCATCGATAGCGTTCAGGGGGTGTTGATGCGACCTCCCTCCCCCCGCTGCTTCCAAACTAAGAGAGCTAGAGATTAGTAAAAGACACCAGTGGATTGGTCTCAACGAGATCTCGCGGTTGTTAACGAGTCGTATGTTGCTCGTCAATAATTGATTCATTATGTCGGGCGAAAGGTCAAATTTTCCCGAAAAATAAGATCTGTGCAGCTTTATATGCTTATATGTGCGAGATCATGCTTTGTGATGATACAAACTCTAGTAGTTCTTGTCCAGTTCTCAGTACAATGATGTATAGTTTTGCGTGTTTTGACCATACGTATGTGATGTACGGTTTCTTAAGATAACAGCGTTCTGTTCTGTTCTGCACCCGTTCCGCGTCAGCGTCGGTTGTTAACCGTAGGACGCGCAGTCGTAGGTAGCCGTGCATTGTGTCTCAAAAACCACCCCTGCTCCTAAGCCAGAAATACTAGGGGTACGTCTTAGGCGTCAAAACACGCGCAATGTGTTTTTCTCGCATTGTTGGTTGTTTTGCTCCCAAATCGCGCCCTTCTTTTATTAGCCCTTTAGGCCAATAAAAGTTGGGCGCGATCGCACGACGTGCACGGGAGGTATCCTCATAAAATCTCAGGATAGGGGGGGGGGGGGAGGGTCGCATCGTTCCCCTTTTAGAGCGTGGTTAAAAGGAGCAAATATGTTGGCACATGTTGCAGCATGTTGAGCAAGGTAGGCATAGTTCAAACACACATGCACAATATACAAGTAGGTTAAGCAGAAGACGTGACTTCATAATAAGGGAAACTTTTAAGGCAAAAAAAAACGGATTGGCGCCAGCTGCTCGGAGTGCGTTATGCAGTGTAAAGTTGCGCGTCATGCCACTTTGCATATTAATCGATGGCGCAGTTGCCATAATGAACACTGCTTTGAGCACTTCCAGTTTTCTTTTTCGCTGTTTCTGGTAAGAATTACGGTGCTAAATACCAATAGGTTTCATCTGACATCTGAGATGGCAGCTCTCTTCAAATTTGGTTCAGGGACGCTATTTTGGAAATGCACTGTCAGCCTGCCCCCTGCTCGATCTTGTAGCTGTGTTGTCAGTGTTTTAGCAGCTGGCGTCGACCTGCGTTGAACTGTTTGTGCATGTCTTGGCTTTAACGTTCTCGAATATATCACAGAAGGCTCCCCTCATCACATAATCGCGCATTTTGTCTATCGTACTTGCATGTTTTGCGTTTGTGTTCAAAGAGTATCTACCTTGCTCAACTAGCAACCTGAGCCTGGCGATAGTCTATGGCAAGGCTATCTAACGTCTACGGTGAGTGAAATGTAACAACTAAGTACATGGCGACGAAGGGACCTTTTTTTTGTTCGTATTATTTGTACAAACATTTGTGCTGCTTATCCACGAATGTGAGCCTAACGTGAGGCCTGCTGTAAGAAACAGTGAAAGCCTGTGTAGAAAACTTAATAATGTGGAACAGGCCCTGGTGTTTGATTAACAGTGCATTTGTGAAGGGCTGCTCCCTAAGTATATATATATATATATATATATATATATATATATATATGCATAATATATAACAAAAGTTTTTGTGTTTTGCCAGAAGACCACCACGCATAGATAGAGCAACAGCAAGTTATTTAATATGCTGATGTAAATCGGAGTTTGATCACTTTATTAAAATGAGGGGATATCATCATGTTTTTCATGTTAATGGTTATATTAAACAATTTGATAAGTATTCAGTCACACATCCTCCAGTCTTTTGAGACCACACCTCTTGTTATAAATTTGCAAACAGAAAATGTAACCAAACGGCCCAGGATCCAGATTTGACGGTTCCGTTGAATACCGTATCCGGATGATGAGGTGCGGCTCCACTGAGGACCGCACCGCTCAAAGTGGCCGGGTTCTGCTTTTCTGCGTTTCATTTAGTGTGAAAGCGTGACTGTAAGTAGCGGTTTAAAAGCACTTAAATTTACGCATGTCACATTCAAGTAATGTTGGATGTCTTATGGAGTGGGCGATATGATCACGGCACTCTCTCTACTGAACAGAATTGTTGTGCATTTGCTTTTTTTTGGGGGGGGGGGCATTTTATAAAAGTGCGATGCTGAATTATGGATCTCCGACCTAACCTGCGTGCATACGGAAAATTGTGAATCATCCTTCACTCGTCCCAGTAAGAGTCCCTTCATCAAATGAACAATAGATGTTTGCTTTGCCAGTAAAATAGAAGACAGTGCTTTGAATGGCGCCCGTGGAAACCCATGGATACGTAAGGATTTCAGGCACTCCCTTTAAAAACTTCTGAGATCGCAGATGACCTGATGCACCCAACCAAACACCACCCAATGCATGTGCGATTACGTATCCCTATACCCGATACTAAGCTTTCACTTTATGTTGCATCCACACGTGCGTGCTAATTTATTTATCTTTTTTACGTGCATCCATGTACCTGAGTCAGAGCCTGAGTCACGTAGGTGAGATGAGTCTAAATATGAGATATGCGCTTAGCATACCCATGTAAATTGTATATACGGACTCATGTTAGTATACCCTCCAGCGATGGTTGAAACTTCCACGCCAATCTAGGCGGCTGGTGGCGCCCACTTCTGCTGAAAACCGAAGTGAGCGCCACCAGTGAGTGAAAACAGCCGTGAATTCACACCACATTTCACCGATTGCCTGACAGGGTTTTGACATGCACCTCCTGTTAGATGACAGGTCGGTTATCCTCATCTAAAGAGCTCACGGTATGAAAAGGCTGGCCCGAGGCCTTCTTTAGTTGCATGTTGCATCAAGGCTAACCCGGGTCTCCTGTCTTCAGAACCTTTGGTTCTGAGTTTGGGTCTCAGTCCTGGTGTCCTAGTCTTAGTATGAGTCAGAGTCCACAGTTGAACCGAGTGGTGTGTCCGAGCCCGGATCCGATGCGTGCCCAAACCGAGTCGATTCATCCGAGATCAAGCTCCACGAGGTCATGATTGGGCTCCGACTTGGTGTCCAGCCGAACTGAGACGTGGGCTCAACGGGGACCCTCGGCCCAAAGTAACTCGTGGTTATCATGTCGCAATGGGTCACTCCATGCATGGCTGATGTCTTCCGAAGGTCGATTTACGCTAGATACTAGGCTGGTAGTAAACAAGATTTTCCTGTCGTGATTCACTGCTTGGAAACCTTTGAAGCGCCATACTGTGCTGTTGCCACTGCTGCTGGCAGACTCGTGACCCAACAGATGTTTGTGTTTTTCTTTCCTTTCTAGCGGCCATGCACGCATGCCTTTCGTGGTCATGAGCTCAACTGACTTGCAAAACACACAAACGTGCGGAAAATATTTTTTTTTATTTTACCATCATGACCAGACTTGTCACTTTATATGCTTTTCAAAGGCCCGAGCCCCGCCCTCAATGCTGACCTAAGCCTCTCAAATGATTCTATAAGCTCCCTTAATGCTTGTGGGCAAAAATAAAATACTGGGCCAAATAAATGCAGGAAAATTGTCTGAGCTATTGGTATGCGGGGCAGCAGATACCTAAACACATCACTATGAGTATGATATTACTTTTACAAATCCTGTATGCACCTAGTTTTTTGTCGTGCTAACTCCTTTAATAAGTTAGGCCAGTCTGTAAATGATTGACAAGAGTTTGAAATGATAACGTCTGGCTTTGGATGAACAATTGGCTGCAATAGGTAGCAGCTTTTAAAAGTACGGGGCGACCCAGATAAAAGTTAGCACATGTTTTCCCCAACAGAAGTAAATGCATATGTCGCATACTTGTGAGCGTGGTGCTTATGCGACACAATCAGCAACAGTAGCAGTCATCAGTGATCTGTTACGAGCATGTACAAAAATAGGCTTCTGTGGGTCACACCCATTCTTAGCTTTCCACAAAAGCAGCTCACGTTAATTCAAAGTGTAAACCTATTTCCCCACAGGGGAACAATATTGAATCTATAAAGAATATTGAAACCGTTTCTTGAACTGCCAACATAGAAGAGGCAAATTCAAGTGACTGAAATCCGAGCAAGATCAGGCTTTGGGGAGGTCAAGTCAAGCTTTTTGGGCTGAGCCCCGCCCCATACCCCACCGACTCAAGAGAGTGACACCCCTGATCATGGTGGCCCCTATATTACCAATGAGTGTAACTTTACAATGGATTTGGTTCATAAAGCGGTCCCGTGTCTTCACGACCAAAAGCGCAACGCCTGCTGGCCATCGGACTTGATACGATCAGGCAATACCGTGCGAATACCCGACCCAATAGCTGGCGGCTCTCCCGTTCACCCGGCGCCGGTAATGTTCTCCATTTCGTCACCTGTTCCCGGCCGAGCGCGCTCCGACCATGGAAATGATACAGAATTTCCCTGAGCCGCCGAGCCGGGCGGCGCGCGCCGGGCTCGGCACGACCACCGGCGCCGCCGCCGTGGAGACGAGTGGGCGTGCCGGCGGCCGGCGGCCGGCCGGCCGTCGGAGGGCCGAAGTAAAAGGGAGTGTGCGGCGTTTGGCGGTCACCGGCGGCGCCGGTCGGCAGTGCTCCGCGAGCCGCGTGCACGGGAGGATCGAGAGCGAGAGTGATTTCCACCGCGCCGCCGCCCCACACGGAACATGTGAACAGAGCCCGCGCGCCGACCGTCTTCTGTGCCCTAGTCTGTGTGTAGATTGGTAGTTGAGTTGATATCGTCCAGATGAAGCCCATCATGCGGTGTGTAGGGATTTCGCTGCTGCTGCTGGTCGTCTGGTCAGAAGGACTGCCGCAGAGAGGTGAGTCTCAGGCTACTCCGTGCTGCCTTACATCCGTCGTCTGTCTTCGCTTTCACGAATTCACATATTGCTGGCTTCATAGTGTGGAAACTTTCATGGCGATGGAAGCCCCATTCACTGCATGCAAAGTGGCCTACTTGAATTGCCGTTTAAAAGCAAACTAAAGGCCAGATACCAACATCGATGATCACGTGTGGTATGTTGCATTTGTATCGGTGGTAAATTTGTTGTAACGTATGCATGAGTGCTGTGACGAACCGAACTTAGCTAGCGATGTAAGGAGCCGAATACCTGAAAAACCGCCTCGTGAATGATTTTCAAGCAAACAAATGCAAACACAAAATACTAATGAATTCCGGCCAAAGTAGCTGCCGGGACTGTTAAGTCTGCGGCTGGCTTTCAACAGACGGCCGTCAATGTGAGCGCCACTCTTCGCTACAACTGCGTCGCGTTGCGGTTCCTCCGGTGCCAGTCGCGTCTGCCGTCCTCGGCAGCGGGCGCGGGCCCCCCCCCCCCCCTTCTCCCCCACCAGCCGTGTGAGCTCTGGAGTTGGCTGGGAACGGGAGGAACGGCGGTGTGCCTTGCGTCAGGCCGCCGTTGGAGCAACGGGAGCGGCTCGGCTCGCGCCGGTTGCCCAATGGGACGGCCGAACCCGGTCTGTGCCGCGACATGGCTGCTCCTACCCAGCCCAGCGTCATGGCCCACCCCTTCCCACCTCCAGCCCAGCGGCATGGCGCACCCCTCCCCTTTTCCAGCCCAGTGGTATGGCTGCTCCTACCCAGCCTAACGGCATGGGTGCTTCCCAGAATCGCGACCCGGTCTCGTCTGTCCGTAATTTGACCGCCGGCGTGCGGCAGGCGCGACGAAGAGGTGCTTTGAGGCCTTCAGTAAACAGCGGCTTCAAAACTTTTAATGAGCTAGTGTGCCGGGACTACTTCGTTCCACCACACGATACCAATTGATTATTGCACCTCTTTAGCTTATGTAGGTGGGGACGCACTTTGCCGTTCTCCGCCCCCGCCCTTTCCTCGAATGCTTAGGTTGGTTTGATTTCTTCTTAGTTAAGATTTCCATTTTCCATTGTATGCACAGCCCCTCCAGCTAATCATGCAATCAGTCCAATGTATTTTATGATCTTTGCCAGCCCCAGGTGTGCATCCAAATCTTAACGCTGGCTCTCAGCGCAGATTGGTATGTTAGTTTACGAAAGTACGGCAGTGTTCCAATAGCTTTGATGGGAAGTTGAAATGACTGAATCATTCTTCCCTATGCTGAAACGGCCGATACAGCAGGATTTAAGAGAAACTCATCACGAGGCTAACCTCATGCTCATATACATATCGGATGCCAACAAGACCCGCTATTTTTAGTTACTTTTGGGGACATGGACTTCAGGGAAAAGCTCATGCTGCATCTTGTTATAACGCGGGTAATTACGCGGCGTTTAAATTGTTGAAAAGTTATAAAAAGGGCCACTGAAATATACAGAGAGCTTTATCTACCACATCCAACTAATCTGCTTACATCGAAAACCAGTGAACGCAACGCATGGCGAGCCTTGGTCGCCTTAGCTCATAATCGAGACAGCGGAGACATACGTGCCGAGCTCACCGCATTGTCTCCACAACCGACCCGATTCTGCGGCAAAACTATGCCTCGACTCCCGTCAGCCGCTCAAATAAGGCTACCATAGACATTCCTTCAAGGACCGCTCCGCGTGAGGTCAGCATCTCCCGCTACTTTTACTTCCAACTCGTCCAAGGTCGCGCGAGCACGCCCGTGAATCAGCGGTCAGGAGAGGTGCTATCCGGGTGTGCGGCCGCTGCAGTCTTCGTGCCGCGCGGCGCAGGCTATCAGCTGCTGATCTTCGCGTGACGCCTCTGGTGCCGTGCGCCGCTGCAGTCCCCCCGCCAATGAGGTCGCCATCGCTCCAACAGGTTCAAAACACCTGCACTTCGTGTCGCGACCTAACGGACCCAACTGACGGCCCGAGGTGGGGCCATTTTAAACTCCTTAAATGACAGCTTGTCCTGAAACCACGCGTGTGCCACGGGTTTGGGGAGGCCACATGCCGCAACTAGTCGCATTCGCGCCTTGTGTCCGGCTCTTTGTTTCACTTCACTAGGCCTTATCACGCCTTTTTTCTGCGGTGGACGGTGCCAAAAACAAATGGAAACAATTGTTTATTGCAGCCTAGTAAAAGTGCTTCGAAGCTATGCAGTTTTAATCTGTTCATTTCCCGTTACATGCGTTAAACAAAAAGCCCCGCTTATATCACACGAAAACAACGGTTCCGAGAATAAACGTCAATGCACCGCCAAAGCCAACGGGGTTTGGCTTATTTTCCTGGTCCGATGTAGGCGGAATGTAACCAATATGTTTCTAGCGCTGTTTGGTAATATGTCTTATTAGAGTCAATCAGTATCCAAGGCAACCTAAAGCCGACTTCAGGCAAACAATCTCCTTCATTGAACTCACTCAGTCGTTTATCTAACTTACTGTCGTTGAAGTCTAAGACGCATTGAGTAACGGGCCAACGCCTCCGTTATATGCCAAAATAGCCAATTCGTATTCCTCACTACCTTAGAACAGCACCTGGTCTGTTGAGAGAAAGAGAGAGAGAGAGAGAGAGAGAGAGAGAGAGAGAGAGAGAGAGAGAGAGAGAGAGAGAGAGAGAGAGAGAGAGAGAGAGAGAGAGAGAGAGAGAGAGAGAGAGAGAGAGAGAGAGAGAGAGAGAGAGAGAGAGACAAAACGAGAAAAATGGTGAAAGAACACGCAAAAAACACACATACATGTGTACAAATGCATATATATATATATATATATATATATATATATATATATATATATATATATATATATAATGTGGCTTGCGGATAGCTGTACGTAAAGGTTGTAGGGTAAAAAAGGAAAGAAAGCGAAATGAACTATGATCCATCTATCTAAAAAGATTTGAGATACCTGAAGATAGAATATGTATTCTTTAAGAAGTCCATCGAGCAGCCATTCTGAGCAGGTGGAATAATTCTTCGAGCTCACGTGGTTATCAGTGACGCAAGTTTGCACCCAACGTTTCAATCAGCTATTTCTCGGAATTCGCAATTTGTTGGGTAGTCTCCAAAGTGGCGTAAAGAAGTTAGCCATTTGTTGGGTAGTCTCCAAAGTGACGTACGGACGTTCGATGCGTAGCCATGTGCATTAGTATGTCAGCCCCACAAGCCACTCTCAGAGTCAGCAGTCTTGAGATCTCTGAGATTGCTGAAATCTCAGCAATCTCAGAATCGTGCTCAGTCCACCAATTGCAAGGCGTGGTTTTGTAACTTGCATTTGCCGGGAACTTTCCATCACATGCCTTTCCATTTCCATCACCCCGTGACAGTGCTCACAAAATGCGGTACTTGGTCCGGAGGCATGCGGTGGGTCTGGCCATGTGGCCTTTGAAGGCCTCGTATTTTGACAGAGTTATGCTCTATGACAGAACTTGCATTTGGTCCCGGGGTAGAATTATGTGATTTTGTCCGAGTCTCACAAGAATTCGGCCTTTCAGTGGCGTACCCTCAGTTCTGAGGCCGAGATGAAGTCGAAGAGCATTCAACCATGCTATTAACCATGGAGATCTTTTCACCATTGCGGCCGTCGGCGGTCTCACCGCCTTCCGCAGCGTAGAAGTATTGCAAACACTTCCGCTACTTCTACTCGTAATGAGTCAGAACGAACGTTGTAAAAGGAGGCTGATGCCTCTTTCCATCATTCGTGCGGCCTTCACTGAAACCATTTTTAATCCATCTCTTATAGCTGACCTGTCAACTCAGGAAAACAGCGCTGAATCACGCATATTAATCGCTCATCGTAAGTTAACCTCAGAAAAAGACTGGTTCGGGTCAAAACATGCCACTGTTTACTCTCATCAGATAATAATGGGCCATCTGAGGTCATCACATCGCATTCCATGACCTCGATCTAATAATAATAAAGAAGTGAGTTTTACCTTTTCGATTTTGTTTACCTGTGTTCAAAAACAGTGATGTCTAGCCGGTAAACTACAATTGCTTGACGTCGACTCCTTTACACTATGAAAGCAGTTTAATCAATTTATAGAATTTGCGATTATTTATGTATATGATTATAAAGATTGAATCTAGAATATAATTTCGAAAACTTGCTGCTGAGCAGGTATTGATAGCATGAAGAATGCGTCTCATGTGGCTGAAATGTTATATAAGCCCATAACATTCACAATGGGATGGATAATCTAGAAAATCGAGAGCGAGTCCAGTCAAATGGACCAGGTTTTTTTCTGCGGCATCTTCCCTCCGGTTTTCCTCTATTCCATTGTTCGTTATCTATTCCCCTATCTTTCTCTAATCCCTGCGATAAAAGAAACATCATTGAATGACATAAACAGACTTAGCTTTATCGTGCTTGCCTTGGCCTACACTGACATAGGAGTTTGCGTCCACGTTTTCAGACGAAAACGTCCGGAAAAACGCTGCTGCCCTGCAACCTCCATGACCCCTGCAACGCAAAACTATCTCACAGCGATTATCAGACACGGGCTCGCGTACACAAAGACGTTATTGCCTCGCATCATAGGTGCGCAAACATGTAATCGAATGCGTATCATCACTATCTTTTCTGGCGGCGTTATCAGTGGCGGCGGGCGCCCCTGCATAATTGTCTCCGCGCGCTGGGCTCCAGAACGCACGCCACCAGCCGCGGTCGATACGCTTCAGAGGATTGTCGGCTGTACCCCGCGTCACGGACGAGCTTAGCCTGTTCATTAGCTGGACTGCTGGCCGCCACTCTGCGACAAGCCTGACGTGACCTTCGCCCCGCCGCCGCCACTCGGCGCGTCCCCCGGAGCCGCCGCCGTCCGAGAGGGCGCCTCTGACACGGCTGACGCGGAGCTTGCGGCGTCGCGGCGCCGGTGCGCGGCCCTCCTGCGAGGGCGGGCTGAGCGGCACCAGTCACGTGACGCAGCCGTCCGCCAGTGACGGCCG